GTTTGTTGCTAAGATGGATATATATTTCTTGGGTCACCTAGTCCATATATTTGTTAAGAACTTAAGAACTATAATCCAGTGCTTTGCTTTTGCGCCAATTGGCATTTCATCTGCGCCAAAATAATCTTTCATTTGCAACACAAACCATATTTCATTTGCGCCAAAATAAAACATTTTTTTTTGCGCCAATAATACAGGTAAATAAAAACCAAAAGTTTGTTTGACACAAGACTTGTCAGCAACGGCTCGAATGTACTCATTTACACTGGATAACCTATATGTGTGGTCATAAAAAAAATACAGACTTATTTCCGCTATATACAAATAAGGAGATTTGGTATGATTGCCAATAGCCCATCATCCAAGCATGTATGTGAAGGATGAGGGGCATTCTATGAGGAAGCCAGGAGGCTTCGAGGGTTAAATATGAATATTTTTTTCGTTAGGCTGTATACGACCTTTTTTACAGTTGAGTGATTTTATCACATAGACAAAATCAGTCACCCATGTACTATAAATACCTGTGTAACCTTATCCTAAGCCTCGTTTTTAAGCAACAAGGCAAATGCATGGTAAATTTAACAGTTCAGAAACTCAATTTATTGGTCCAATTACTGGAGGTTATCCAAACTTCAAATAAAAACTTCTACCAAGTTAAACCTATTCCAAAATGGTCATCTGCACAACATATCTTGGGAGGGAATTTAACCCTCGAGGCCTCCTGGCTTCCTCATAGAATGCCCTCATCCTTCACAAACATGCTTGGATGATGGGCTATTCTATATCGTAAGCCATACAGCATTTCTCAGGTTAAATATGAATCTTTAAAGCCACCAGACCAATAAATGCACTTCACAGAAATCTCAAGATATCCTCCATGATTTAGAATCAAATAAAACTGCTATCTATTAGTTACTCCAACACCTGCTAAAGGACAGAAAATACATCAAACTGTCTATCTTATCATATCAAGATTTGTTTGTAATTTAACATAACATAATACTCAGTAAATATACTTTATTACTGCAATAAAAACAATTATTCAAAACAATCAAAATCATTACTGTCCATATTACTGTCCATATTCAACAAATTAGCATTGTCCATATTCAACAAATTATCACTGTCCATATCAAACAATTATCATTGTCCATACATGTATTAAACAAATTCCACAGATCCATTTCCAAAGTGGTCGTCAGAAAATCCATCCAGGCTTGGTGGTTTTCATTAATGATGTTATCAAAAATGATACTGAGTCTGTATCAAAACTCATATTATCAATGCTTTTAAAATTGACTAAAGCTTGTGTTCTTTGAGCTGAACATAAAGCCATTAAGGCAGCAATTTTTAATGTAAGAATTTTTAAACTTAAGTTTTCTATGGAAATAAGTTTGATAAATAGTGGAGAACCTTGCTGACATCCCAAGTATATTGATATTTAGGAAGAGGTGGCCTTAAATTAAAAACTCCTTTCATGAATCTAGATATTACAACATTGTCTACAAGCTGTGTATTACCAAAAGAAGCCAGAGTCTGGCTTACAGCACATTTATAAGTGTTTACACAACTATAGGACTTTTTCATTCTGTATAGTTCCCCTAAAAAATTTATTAATTGTATTTCAGTTGGTTTAACGGAATTAATCTTCTGTTTACTACACCAAATACACCATTTTCTTCATTGAAACTCATATTATTTTGAAGTGGAGGTCTCCACGAGTGTAGTAAAATATCTCTAGATTGTTCTGAAACTCCTTGACTTTTGAGTGGTTGCCTGATACAATGCAGGTGACTAGAAACATTTTTCTCTTGTTCATTGGGGCCTTCCCCTTCTTATTTTTTCCCAGTCCTTTCCCTGGACTTTTAGACAAACCCAGTTTGTCTGACTTTTTTTTACCCTTGTAACATTTTTCGCTGCGTCAGCTTTATTATTTTTTGTATTATCTATGTCCTCCACTAAGGAGAAGCCAGAAAAGTCTCGTGACTCTGTATCTGACACAAATAATTGCATTATATCTTGCTTACTTAAGGTATTGTTTGGCTCCGAGTCAGAGTCTGATGAAGACATTGTAGAATATTAACACAGGTCGTGTCCACTATTTGAAACTTATCTTTAATACACGTGTCGTGCTACAGCCTTAGAAAAAAAACAGGCTTCGGATAAGGTTACACGGGTATTTATAGTACACGGGTGACTGATTTTGTCTAGCGATAAAATCACTCAACTGTAAAAAAGGTCGTATACAGCCTAACGAAAGAAATATTCATATTTAACCTGAGAAATGCCGTATGGCTTACAATATAGAATGAGACAACTATCCACCAAAGTTCAAATGAAGTGGATGAAAGCCATCATAGACAACTGTACGGCCTTCAGATTAACCCATTCCATATAGTCGACTATAAATGGCCCCAACATGAAAAATATTAAACAATCCAATTCTGAGAAAACTAACGACCTGTTTGTCTCAGAATTGACAATGTCCATCTTGACACCTCAAACATGTGAACACTATATGATTTTACCCCTAATCGACTCAGTTTTTGTCCAGCCTGCGACTTTTGTCGCAGAAAGCTCAACATAGGGATAGTGATCAGGCGGCGGCTACGGCGGCAGTGGCATTAGCTAACTTCTTAAAAGCTTTATATTTTAGAAGGTGGAAGACCTGGATGCTTCATACTTTGTATATAGATGCCTTATGTTACAAGGTTTCCATCTGTCACATGTCCATTGTCCTTGACCTCATTTTCATGGTTCAGTGACTACTTGAAAAAAAAGTTAGGATTTTTTGTAATGTTAATTTCTCTCTTATTATGAGTAATAGGATAACTATATTTGGTATGTGCGTACCTTGCAAGGTCCTCATGCCCGTCACTTGACCTCGACCTCGTTTCATTGATCAGTGAACAAGGTTAAGTTTTGGTGATCAAGTCCATATCTCAGATACTAGAAGCAATAGGTCTACCATATTCGGTGTATGGAAGGACTGTAAGGTGTACATGTCCAACTGGCAGGTGTCATCTGACCTTGACCTCATTTTCATGGTTCAGTGGTTATAGTTAAGTTTTTGTGTTTTGGTCTGTTTTTCTTATACTGTATGCTATGGGTCTACTGTATTTGGTGTATGGAATGATTGTAAGGTGTACATGTCTAGCTGGCAGGTGTCTTCTGACCTTGACCTCATTTTCATGGTTCAATGGTCAAAGTTAAGTTTTTGAGTTTTGGTCTTTTTTTCTAATACTATATGCAATAGGTCATCTATATTTGGTGTATGGAAATATTTTATGATGTACATGTCAGTCTTGCAGGTTTTATTTGACCTTGACCTCATTTTCACGGTTCATTGCTCAGTGTTAAGTTTTTGTGTTTTGGTCTGTTTTTCTAATACTATAAGCAATAGGTCAACTATATTTGTTGTATGGAAGGATTGCAAGCTGTACATGTCTGCCTGGCATGGTCCATCTGACCTTGACCTCATTTTCATGGTTCATTGGTCAATGTTTAGTTTTCTTGGTTAAGTCTGTATCTTAGAACCTATAAACAATAGGTCAACTATATTTAGTGTATTGAATGATTGTAAGGTGTACATGTATTTCTTGTTTGGTTTATATGACCTTGACCTCATTTTCTTGGATCATGTTAAGTGTATGTGATAGTTGTAGTAAAGCTTTATATTTAGTACTATCAACATAATATCAATGATTAGTAAAGAAGGCTAGACATTTCAGCGTGTGTACTCTTGTATATTTAAAAACATGAGTATGAACTTACTTATATACCCAGGGGGGAATACTAAAAAAAAAATCTAACTCACGATGTAGCAATAAATATTTAAAAATTTTCCGTTATATGTTACCTGTAAAAAGGCGCAAATGTAGTTTTATTTTTTTGTGGCGTAAATGAAAGATTGGATTTTGCAACAATTGGCGCAAATGCAATGCGCCCCTATAATCAGCTATGTCTGCTGTCTGTCTGTAAGTCATTGATAATTTTTTTTAAAGGTCACTTTCCCAGTTATTAAACAGACCATCTTCACCTCCTTGATACAACTGGCCAGGTTAAATGCCAATTAGACCTGAATAATCCCTGAAATATCAACTTACAAATTTATATTTGTTGATACTGACAAACATTTATCTTGATCACCATAGCTATAAATTGGTAAATCTTCACCTGTAAAAATGAAGGATTTGAAAAAAATAGCATATTTGTATCTCATTTTTTGTCATACAATTTTCAAATTAGAATCAAGGAACCTAAGCCGAGTTTTGACTATAAGAAATACAGCCAAACCTGTATATAAAGGTTACCCTCAATACCATAGAAAACTGACCTTATAAGAGAGATGACCTTTGAATTGAGGTTCAAAATGCATATATATGACTACAGTGGAACAAAAGAAAGGTGACCTGTGTAGCAGGTTTGACTGCATTGAGATGGGGAACCAGTTTTAGCTCATTGATATTTGAATGTGTATGGGGATGTACCTGGTTTGCTGGTTAATTACTACATGTCTTAATATGCATTTTAAAACCAGTTGGAAGCAGATCTTTATCATCACTTTTATCTATACATCTGACACAAGGTTGGGACTTCTGAGTACAATGCTCTCTGCACAAGAGAGATCTCTTGCAATAACTCTCTGAGAATTCTTTAGTTGATCTAAAGCAAGTCAAAATTTCTGCCCTTATGCTAAAATTTCTACTTTTTTTAATGACGGCAAATTTTTCCTCCCCTCATTCCCATCAATCTTATATGAAGACCCTCTCTTTGATTTAGTTACTGTTTTATTTGTTGTCTTCTAGAATATGCATGAAATATTTACCAGTTAACATTATAACAAACAATGATCTTTCAATCAGTCATATTTAAAGGACTTTGTAAAGACATGAACGGTGCCTAATAGCTATTATTTTTTCAATGAGTTTTTTTCTTTTCTTTTTTTATTCAAAATGTGACTTTTTATGTAGTAAAAGGTCATTTGTTTTATATTTTAGGGCCATTATTGGGACCATAGATGCCTTTAAAAGACTCAGCAATGCACCTTCTGATGAAGTAATGTTACCAGCAAATTTGACTGCAACAGTGGGACATATTGTATCAGATATTGTGGGTAACATTACAACTGTCAAATCAGCATCACCCTAATTTATTTTAAAAGAATCATCAGTGAATTTTATTCTTTCTGGGAATTGTGTAGAGTATAGTTCTTGTAATATTGACAATAGTATTATACTGGTTGGTATGACCCATGTCTTTCTTTGTGACAGATTCTGCTGTGAATCTGAGATATTCAGGTTGGGGTAACTTAACTGAACAGTAGCAAGTATAGTATTGTAAATTTAGAAATTATAGTGATGTTTTTATTGATGTGAAAAATACATGGACATTCATATTTTTATTTGTTTAAGTAATGTTCATTGGTTATGTACTATTTGGATATGATTTCAAGTTCACCTTACTTATCTTGCTTTATGGATGGTCATCAAGGATCATGTTGTAAATATTCAATCAGGAGTTGAAGCTGGGACCAATAGATATGTATTCATTTATAAGTCCCAGGTTGAAGATCTAGATTTAGTATGGTTTTGTGGAATTTAGCACTAGACGGGGACTTTTTTGTCCCAACACATCTCGTTTCAATATTAACCATTTAAGAGTTCAATTAAGAGGATCATTCTATTTAAAACTGAGGAAACCAATGGCTGTATTAAATGTTTGCATTATTTTTTATACGACCACAAAAAATTTTTGCGGTCGTAATTGTTAGTATGTCGTTGTCGTCGTCTGAAGACACATTGGTTTTCGCACTCTAACTTTAGTTGAAGTGAATGGATCTCTATGAAATTTTACCATAAGGTTCAATTTCTATAAAAAATTGTTTTAAAAAAGAAAAATATTTAGAACTACAGGATTTTAAAAAAAGACAGTCAATTTGTAAATTAAGAATAAGTGCTCACTCTTTTAAAAATTGAGACAGACAGATATTCAAAAAAATATATAGAAAGATCTGAGCGTCTTTGTTCAAATTGCTCACTTGGTAAAGTTGAAGATGAGCTTCATTTTTTGTTAGAATGTCCTCTTTATGATACTCAAAGGGAAGACTTTTTTCAATACATATCTGACAATTGTTATAATTTTAAAAATTTAAATAAATCTTCTAAATTTTTATGGCTCTTGACTCAAGAAAATGTAACTCTTATGGAAAAACTGGGCTGTTATATTTGTGACTGTTTTGAATTAAGGAGATCAGGTATGCATATTGACACTAAGTCAAGTAAACGATTTGAGAATGAATGCATATAATGTAATTTTATTCTTTTATTCACAATATATATGTGGTTTTTGGCTCTGATTCTGACCAATGCTAATATACTAAATATATATTTTCAAGTGACTATTATTGTTGTTGTTACCAATTATGTAAATCAATTGTATCTGATTTTATGCCCTTTATGGGCCCTGTAATTTGGGAAATAAAAAAAAATATAATACCACAAAAGGAAGGTTGGGAATGATTATGGGGGTTATGGTACCAACAGTTAAGGAAAAAGGGGCCAAAAATAAGCACTTTTGTAACTTCCAGACATAACTTGTGTATTAGTGTATGGATGTCTCTGACATTGTACCGCAAGGTTCCATATCACACAGGAATGCTGGGATTGATTTGGGGGGTAATTGCCTCAAAATATTAGGAATTAGGGGCCAAAAAAGGGGCAAAAAACAAGCATTTTTTTAGTTTCATGACAATAACTTGTGTGTAAGTGTATGGATCTTTCTGATATTGTACTACAAGGTTCCATATCACAAAGGGAAAGCTGGAATTGAGTTTGGGGGTAATTGCCCAAAACATTTAGGAATAAGGGGCCAAAAATGGCCAAAAATAAGCATTTTTCTAGTTTCCAGACAATAACTTGTGTTCAAGTGTATGGATCTCTCTGAAATTGTACTGCAAGGTACCATACTACAAAGGGAAGGCTGGGATTGATTTTGGGGGTAATTGCTTCAAAATATTAGATATTAGGGTCAAAAAAGGGGCAAAAAACAAGCATTTTTCTAGTTTCAGGACAATAACTTGTGTGTAAGTGTTTGGATCTTTATGAAATTATACTACAAGGTTCCATATCACAAAGGGAAAGCTGGGTTTGAGTTTGTGGGTAATTGCCCTAAATGTTTAGGAATTTGGGGCCAAAAAGGGGCCAAAAAACAAGCATTTTTCTAGTTTCCAGACAATAACTAATGTGTTCAAGTGTATGGATCTCTCTGAAATTGTACTGCAGGTACCATACCACAAAGGGAAGGCTGGGATTGAGTTTGGGGGTGATGAATCATAAGGGGTTCAAAAAAATTTGGGGGGGGGGGATTATTTTTTTCATTAAAATTTTCTATTTTAAATTGGTTATTTCTGATTTATATATAAAAGCAAATAAAAATGATATGGTTTGAATAGGTAGATTAAAATTTTTTAAGTTATTGGACCACATTCATTCTGTGTCAGAAACCTGTGCTGTGTCAAATATTTAATCACAATCCAAATTCAGTGCTGTATCAAGCTTGAATGTTGTGTCCATACTTGCCCCAACTGTTCAGGGTTCTACCTCTGCGGTCGTATCAAGCTGCGCCCAGCGGAGCATTTTATTGAATTTATAGAATTTAATGAGTACAATATTACTTCAGTGAAGTTGACTTATGAACATCAGCAGTGGCACTAGGCAAGAATATATAAAGCTAGCCCTCGGCAAGAATATATAAAGCTAGCACTAAGCAAGAATATATAAAGCTAGCACTAGGCATTAATAGAACCATTTTAGATTTACAAACATTATTGTTTTTGTGTTGTCTCAATATTCAATTGGCCTGATAGAAGATTTTAACAACTTAATTGATTTATTTTACAATGTATTAGAAGCTGTCTTTATTTTTTTTAAGTCACCACCACCTGGTGGCAGTGGTGGGCACTATAGTTCATCATTCTGTGATTCTGTATTAAGTGCAACAGTTTTACAGGCTATTTTCTATATGTTTGTAAGTTTTGAGCTTATTTTTTGTTTGTAAATATTCAATCAGGAGTTGAAGCTGGGACCAGTAGATATGTACTCATGTATTAGTCACAGGTTGAAGATCTAGTTTAAGTACGGTTTTGTGGAATTTATCACTAGATGGGGGCTTTCTTGTTTTCCCAACACATCTAGTTTCAAAAGTAACCATTTTAAGGTTCAATTTAGAGGATCGTTTTATTTATCATGAAATATTTTGATATGAAGTATAAAATATTTTATAAAGTGCAAAAAGTTGAACTTTGAGAGGTTTTCATACTACGATAGTTTAGTTTATTTGCCTTGTTTTCATGTAGTCAACAAAATTTTTTTTTTTGGGGGGGGGGGGGGGGGGGGGATAGTTTGCACTAACACAAAGTTTGTGTAAATGAGTGATATAGATGCTTGATGCCTTTCTTTTATAGTGGTATTACGTCAATCAGGTTTTATGAAATTTTAACGTAGTTGATAGTTTTTTTGGATGCTGTAATCTTTTATATTGTTTTGATGATGCTTTTATGTTTTTTGGATGGGAAATTTATATTTTGGTTTTTATATTGATTATTGATTTGTATTGCTACATGTCTCATAGATTATATACATATATATTGTAAATTTAGAGTACAAATGTTGTTATTTAAAAAGTGGTGCAAATTGTTAACTTGGTAATATGATGATTTGTAGATATTGTTGAATATACTGCCAAATGATTAATGTTTATTAGATATTATTTTTATTTGTGAGATATACAGTGCACGCTTTCCTTGATGTTATTGTCATGAAAGTGAGTTTGAAGTCAATTGTATTTTCAAAGGAGTTAATTCATATCAAATGTTTTTGAATCATTAACTTGGTCTGGTGTGAGATTTTTGCCATCACTTTTGGTTCTATGTTTGTCCACCATTATTTTTTCAAAAATCCTTTTTTCCTGAAATCTCCTGAATAATTATAGGTTGCACTTCTGTAAATATAGACAATGCAATCTGCCATAGGAACTCCTTTTACAGCTAAAACTGTGCCACTTTAACTACGAAGTCTCGTAAATATTTATATCCTGGAATGAAAAGTTAAAATGCACTACTATTTTTTGCGAAGGTCAAAACATACGGTTGTGCTGCATATTTTAAACATTTATATGCCTTGAACTTCTAAGAGTTTAAACTTATACTAAAATTCTGTACTATGCCTCCCTTTACTTTAAGTCTTCCTGAGAATTCAATGTGGCCGCTATCCAACAGTTTTTTTACTGGTAAAATACCCAAGTTGTGTCTCTATGAGATTTTCCATGATGTTTACAGTTATGTTTTAAATTTTTTTATTACCAAAAAAAAAAAAATTCAAAAAATGAAAATATTTATTTTTCCTGTATGTAAAAGTACTTCTGTCAGGTGTATAAAGTACAAATATATTGTATATATTTTACCATATAGAGCTTTAATATGAAAATTGATCTTTTAATTACATGTATGTGTGTGTGTGTGAAGAGGGGGTTGGGGTTCATATTTTGCCTTAGAGAAAGAGGTAAGTGTGTGATTAAATGAAACAAAGATCTGATAATTTAAAAGCAATAAGTGTGCCTTTAAAATTTTCTTAGTTCAATGTTATAACTATACCGGTAATTTTATTTATTTTTGTTGTAAAGAATATCTTTTTTACCCAAAGATGGTGGCTTCACCTAGAAATTTTATGTAAAAATAGTTTGATAGTATAAATCATTATGCTCACCGTAAGAGGACTATATAATAGAAAGAGATTATAGGAAAAGTGTTCAAATATTATAAGTGAACTTTTAAAATTGATAAAAATTTTGCTTGACAATTGTAGGCAAATTGTATGCTGTGCAAGTTAATTTTAATGATTATTTTTTGCAAAACTCTGAAGATAAGCCAGATTTCTGTAGTATAAACTATTCTATTTAGCTGTGCACAATGTTATCATTGGTTTTATTATAGGGGAGACAAAAACATGATTATTTTAGGTTAGTTAATGTAGTGATTAGTTTTAGCAATGTACTTAAACAACGAGGGTTACAGAAATATACTGTTTATGAGGTTTTGTAAACAACATATATCATATCAGCAATTGTCTCAAATTGCTTATCATCTACTTAGTATTTTAGAAACACTGTATTGTTTGATACTGACTAAAAGATTAAAACTATATTGCATTTGAGGATTTAAGAATAATTGTTTTTTTTTGACATTACCAATGCATATCAGTTACTAACCCATATCAACCTCTGATCAAGGTTTCAGGTTGATATAGATGTTGTCTTAAGGGTTAATAACTTTGATAGACTTGTTTACAATAAAATAATGTCATGTTCATTCAAATGCTTTACTTTTTTAAAAACTATTAGCTACGCAATATGAATGTTACGCTACATGATTTTTTAGGTAGTATAGACCTTAAAAGTCATTTCCCAAATCTCATCTGACTGTAAAAAAGTATGAACAAAAATACCTAACTACAAGTCAAATTCAAGGTCCATAAAACCTGACTAAATAAATGCTTTATGAAATCAACTAGCAAAACGAATGGAAAACAACTGTCATATTCCTGAATTAGAATTTGAATTAATTTGAAGCACATACAAATAAATAACAGAAACGATATTCATCCCTATTTTAAGATTTCGTGATTGTTGACAGCTATATCATTGAAATATATCCCACATTCTTTTTTATTAA